TCTGCAGCCCGTGGTCCAGGTGCATGGTGCTACTCTCTGAATCGTATCTGGGAAAGAATTCTGAGAATCTGCTCCTTTTGGTTCCCACTCAGATGGTTGAAATTTTGATTTCCAATGATGTTCAAAATATTTCTAGCAGTCATACGGTTGCCATTTGGTTTTATTGAAACAGTGCAAAGAGAGATGGGTTAGTAGGATAAACAAAGAGGATTCAGAGAGCGATTGATTCAAAACAGATTCTTTCACCAGCTTAGCACAAATTCATTTTGCATTTGCAAAGTATGGTCAAGAAAGTTAAGCCACCCAGAGAAACATACTGTGAATAACACATTACATTTAACACCTTGGCAATACAAGAAAATGAGAGTAGAATGCAGAAGTCAAGAGGCACAGATCATATTTTATTTTTCTCATTAGTTTATTGTTCTAATGCCAAATATATTAGATATTTTATCATCTCTCCAATAATAGTTATAGTAAAGGTTATGATTGTGTTATACCTCTACTAGAAATATTGCAGAGATGTTCTAGTTTAGGCCTGGCACTTCAAGGAAAGAGGTGTAATAACAGAACGACATATTTTATCAGCTCTATTCGCTTTTGTAAAAGAAGAACCTTAAGCTCAGATTAATGTTGTAAGAAATGTCATTTACTAAGACATGAATGACAACTTATCCAACTATGTGAGTGTGTATGTGTTTGTGTGTGTGTGTTAGAGAGAGAGAGAGAGAGAGAGAGAGAGAGAGAGAGAGAGAGAGGAGAGACAGAGAGAAGACTGGTTGCTTCTTTACCAAAGCCTTCACTCTGTGCAATAGTTGCTGTTAATATATGTATGTTGTGAATTGTAGCAGAGTAAAGGGGTTGAATCTTCCCAAAGGCACAGGAGAGTAGGGATATGGCTACATTTCCATCTGAGGCTATATCCAGAGGCAGAAGCTATGCCAGCTCAGTGTAATAGCGTGTGGTTACTTATGCATGATGATACAATTTCAGACAGAAATCAAGCATTCTTTTGACTACTTTTAGAATGCTATATTCTCAAGGTGTATAATATTACCAACTTTTTTGTTTGACTTTTCCTCCGGCATTCCACACTGAATTGAGGACTGAGAAGACACTACTTTTCCAAGATGGCTTGTTTCAAGATGTTGTATTTCCAAGGGACTTGTGGCAGCAACCAGAGGGGAAAGGGTGGCCCACATTTTAGAAACCACAGAGCACACACAAGGAAATTACAGTTTACTATTTTTGTAAATGTGAAGGTCAATTTTTATTGTGATTCCCATTCTATCTCGAGGTCCTGATGGCTCCACACCCACAGGCTTCACCCTTGTGGTTTTCAGTACAGCAAGAGGACTTTGAAAAGAATTACTGTCCGCAAATCCCCACTGACTGCTATTCCTCAAGATACAGTACAGAATTTCCACGAAACTGCCCAATGGTTCCTGCACAAATCAGGTGTTGAATGAAATATACTCTTTCCTCTCAATCTTTCGTTCAGATTAGTTATTTATATTAGTTCTTAAAATAATAATGGTCTTTGCTTATGTTTATCCAGACAAGAACGTTGCAAATCTTAGCAAGTCATCTATTCTTTATCTCAAAATCATATGTAAAGAAAAAGATTGGGGAACGGATATGTAAATTCAACTTTAAAAGCAATATATACATTGTGATAGTGCCTAAATGAGGTTGAACAACAAATAAAATCAATTGAAATATAGTCTTTTTGCATAAACATACTTTTAATATCCAGACAAGGAAAGTCAGTATTAAACAGCCAGGTGCATTAATCAGAATAGTATGGAACTTATTTTAATGTTGAGCAGAACTACAATAAAAACATCTCATTGAAATAAAATTATCATGTTTTTATTTTATTAAGTAAAAATAACTGGGGAGAATTAAGAAATTGCCTTACTAAAGCATATAAAAATATGAAGGTGCATACTCAGTATGCTGCTGCGATTCACTGATCTTCCTAGTGTCAGTTAGACCAAAGTCCCTACTTTGAACTTGTTAACTATAGAGAATGGGTGGACCTCAGTGTGCCTAGAAATGGCAAAGTCCAACTATTCATTGTTTTTTCACTCTATAAGATCCGCAAACATTTGTAATGAACTTTGAAAGTCTGAGGTTGGTCTCCTACAGATGCACTTCTGAATTTAAGATTATATTATGCATCAGGACACTGCAAGAATGTGCGATTTTTGATTTTTGTAGTAGCTGAAATAATTGCATGTGAGCAAGAAGTCAAATTTCAGATGTCAGGAGGGAGGGAGGAAAAAGAGAGGAAGGGAGAGAGGAGAGAGATAGAGAACGAGGCCCGGGACATGTTGAGATGAATTACTTTGGAAATCTTATAAAAGTTCAATAGAATATTCTTCCACCATGAGAATCAAATATACTGATTCATTCATGTAGCTGAATCTACTCAATACTTTGTAATTGCATTTAGTATATAATTTAGGCAACTTGTCAGACAAATATTATTAGCTTCACTGTTCTGACAAAAACAATTTGATAACCATAGACCGCTACTGTTGTCCAGACCATAAAAGAAGACTAATCAAAGTTTTCACTCACTGTATAGAACTCCATTAAATATAGCAATAATAACAAGATACCATTTTTGTTCCATATTCAGCATTAATTTACTAATAAATAATGTCTCATTTTCATAGTAAGTCTACCTGTGCTCTTTTCACTGCAAACTGTTTGTTCCTGGAGTTAATGTCTCCATGTGTCCAGAGGAGAGGGACGCTGGCCACAGCACTAGTGGTGGTCAGCTCTGCTTTGTGGAAGAATTCCACATCAGATCTTTCTATCGATATCAAGGCTATCCCCACGCTTCTTGTCATTCTTGTGCTGTTGGTGTGTATTGAAAGTGTTTGTTATTGTGCACTTGCACACCTGTGTGTGGAGATATGCTCACATGTTGATGTGTATTGAGAGTGTTTGTTATTGTGCACAGGAGCACCTGTGTATGGAGATTTGATCATGGTTGGTGTGCGTTGAGAGTGTTTGTTATTGTGCACAGGAGCACCTGTGTATGGGGATATACTCACGTGTTGGTGTGCATTGAGAGTGTTTGTTATTGTGCACAGGAGCACCTGTGAATGGAGATGTGCTCACATGCTGGTACTTGTACAAAGGAAGGACCGTGGTCCACAGCAGGGTCTCATTGGTCTCTACCTTCGTTATTTGACATTGGGTCTCACACTGAACCTGATCTCAGAAGCCAGATGTCCAATGAGCTTTAAGTATGTCTTTCTTTACCACCGCAAGCCAGGAGCCTGGGAGTACTCTGCCACTTTGGCTTTTGCTTTGAGCCACCAGGATCCAATCTCTGTTGCCCCTTGTTTGCGTCGTAGACACCTTAGCAACCAATTCATTTTCTCAGGTCAGAAAAGTCATATTAAAATTTAATTTCTTACAAAAAACTTAAAATGTTAAAAAATTGAATGAATTGGTTTTGAATGAGTACTCCGAATTTATTTGCTGGTCTAATAAATAGGATATTGTAGTTTATAATTAGCAGACTCTGACTTCTGATCTAACTCAATCCAGGTTTCTCTGATTTCTCAAGATTTCTTTGTGCATCTCCATATTGTTTAGTTTTAACAAAAATCCCATTAGAAAGTTTAGTGAAACATCCTTGGTCCCTAATATCTCCTCTGCTTCACTACCCCATAACCCTGTGTGCTTATCACTCTGGTTTGTCCTCAGAAAGAATACTGTAAACTCATTCATGAGAATTCCCTTTAATCTAGGAGTTTTATCACAGCAACCCACTCCAATGCTCATCCTACTTCCTGACTGTAAATCTCTACTTGTCCATGTATTCTGACTGAATTCTGATTTCTCCTCCCATCTACAAATCCAACTGAGTAGGCCTTGGCACCTCTAAATAGTTTCACAATTAATTTTTCCGTATATTGCCTGTATTTGGCAGGTAATTTGCAACGACAGACTTCCAGTGTCTGTTAATAAACAGATACATCAAGGATGGTGATTTCTGTGCCTTTTGTTCCTCAATCCATCTTCCTCCAGCAGGGGACAAGGAATTCACTGATTTACCAGTGAATGCAAATCCTTCCTCTATATTTTAGGAAGGGCTGACAAGCAGATTGTCATTTGTAATAACTGCTTACCGACAGATGCGTGTCTTACGAAACATGCAGCATGAATTCTTTCTACATGCTGGTATTTAAAATAAATAAGACCTTTAGATAGTTCCTTGTGTTTAAGTTATTCTGAAACATTGATAAAGCACAAAATAGAACATATAATTTATAATGAACTTATGGTAATCTTTTTATTGATGCATTTTAACTCTTTTTATGGTTTGTTCAGATTTCAAGCTATACTTCTAACATATTGTCAACTTAAATTTATTAACAGTTTACCTAAAGAAGAAATAGCCTTAGGTAAAGGAAACTTACCTAATGGTAAAGGGTAAAACTCTTCTAGCATTACATAATAATGTTTGATTCCATAGTATCTAGGATACTGTAAGCTGCATAGTCATTTTTAAATATTTATTTGGAAAATAAAAGGAAGGAGTGAAAGACAAGAAACAAAAAGTAACATAAAAAAATGAAAGAAAAACAGAATGTAATGTGCAAAATGAAAAAATGGTAATTTTATAATGCTGACAAAGGAAAAAAGCCCTCACTCAAGAGGAACAAGTATCATTGCTATCAACTGACACATTCAACCCTACCTGCACAAATCATTTGATAATTACTATAAATTTGTATGATGCAATATCATATTTTGGTAGCTAATCTCCTTTTATGTAAATCGCTACTCAAATTATATTTTTTAAATCTTATTTTCTTTGTATAAAATTATGTATGTTTACATACTAGAACAATATCATTTATTCATGCAGAAGTTAAGTACAAAGTAAAGGCTGATCTTCAAAAGAAGAAGAGATCATATAATCATGTATTACTTAAGAAATTATCCCAGTAATTTAGCAGATTAATGCTTACCTGTATATCTTTGCCAGCCCATTTGCATTCATCTCTTCTGGTATAAGACACTGGCCACACGATCTAAGGACAGAGAAGAATCATTTTTTTAGGCCAAGTAAATTTGTCGTATTTTATAATCTTTTTTGTATTTGTTTGGGACAAAAGGGAAATAAATACTATATGGAGGAATAGCTCAACATTTCTTTCTTTCTTTGAACAATAGCTGAGGAATTTCTGTGTACTGAAGTCATGCATTCTTCATCGATCCACTATTTTTGGCTCTGTATGAAATTAGAGTTGGAAATCAATTAATGTGATCGATAGAAGGAAGATTGTAGTGTGGAAAGAGCTGCTGCCCTGGGTGGGAAAGAAATGTCCGACTGGAAAATATGGGGATCTTGGTGAAAATTGGCAGAGAACTTCCCCATGCTCTTCCAAATTTCTTAATATTATCATGAAGTAGTGGTTTTCAAAATTTAATGCTAGGAAAATCTGAAACTATCTCTCTGAAACAAATTCCAGAATGGCATGCTATGGTGAGACTTGAAATGCTTGGAAAACACAGCTTACAATGTAATTTTTCTTTCTCTCTCTCTCTCTCTCTCTCTCTCTCTCTCTCTCTCTCTGTCTTTCTCCACTTGAAAATAAAGAATATTTAAGAATAACAACCTATGTTTTGAGAATATATAAGTGGAAACAAAGAAAAACTGTAGCTCTAAAAAACAGCTTCTTTGACTGGGCATAGTGTTCCTTAGTTATAATCCTAGTCCTTGGGATGTTGAACCAAAAAGTCTTGCCTGGGTTTCATATATCTTGAGTTCAAGGCCAGGCTAGTCTACATATACATAGGGAGTAGAATAAGCCAGGCTTACATATCCATAGCAAACCAGGCCAGCCAGCCAGAGTTTCATTTACATAGTGAATCAGGCCTCTCAGTGCTACCTGTATATATATCACTATATATCACTATACACAGGTAGCACTGTGTATGTGAGTGCGTATATATATGTGTGTGTGTGTGTGTATTCAGTAAATATACAAAGCCTACACATAAAAGTGAGATTAGTGTTTTCTATTTCCATCCATTTGTATGCAAAATTCAAGAAGTCCTTGTTTTTTACTGCTGAGTAGTACTCTAATATGTATACATTCCATACTTCCTTCATCCATTCTTCTATTGAAGGGCATCTAGGTTGTTTCCAGGTTCTGGCTATTACAAACAATGCTGCTACTGAGAACTCAAGAACAATGGCGCTGGGTTTTGATCCTACTGCATGTACTGGCTTTGTGGGAGCCTAAGCAGTTTGGGTGCTCACCTTACTAGACCTGGATGGAGATGCGTGGTCCTTGGACTCCCCAATGGGCAGGGAACCCTGATAGCTCTATGGGCTGACAAGGGAGGGGAACTTGACTGGGGGAGGGGGGGGAATGGGAGGAGGTGGCGGGGAAGAGACAGAAATCTTTAATAAATAAATAAACGGGAAAAAAAAGTGAGTTTAGGTCTTGATTAGGCTACATATACAGAGTGAGTCAGGTCAGACAAAGCTACAGGTGCATAATAAGCCAAGAAAACCATGACTATGTGGGAAGACAGTGTCTTGCTAAAACCAAATAACAAAAGTTACTCAAAACCTAACCTAGTTAAGTGTTCTTGTGTGTGTTTTAATTCTTCTTTTTGCTAATCTGGTCACAATAAGTATGACTGGTCGTTCTTATGCAGTAGAATATATCTTCTCTATAATAGCAATACCAATACTCTCATCCAAACTTTTGCATAAAAATTTACAAATTCCAAGAACAATTTCGCTGGGTCTTATCTGTACTGGGCAGAAGAATTTATTCCTCTTCCCTCCGTTTTCTCTTCAAGTAATATTTGTTCACGCCAGGGGGGAATGTCATGCATTAAATAAAAATCCCGGGTCAGTGGCAGTGTATTATTTATGCGTGCGGGAAAGCTTTCAGCCTCAGGATGATTGATCACCACTCATCTGAAGTCTCAAGATAATTCACTGCGAATGGTCACAAGCTCCGGCAAAGTTTGAGATTTTCACCCCGGGAACTGGAACACCAAATGCGGCAGAGTTGTAAACAAGGGTGCAGGAGTCACTGAAATAACGTGGCACCATGAGAAATACATTCTAAGTTCGTGGCACAAAAATGATGTTTAAGAGGATAGTGGCGGTGCCATAATTTTTTATCAACAAATTCTTAATGTAAGTATTCTCTTTTAGGGGAATTTCTGTCCCTAGGTATCTTTGTATCTAAATTATAATTGACATCAAGTGCATTCCACATAATGCAGTCACATAGTGCAAACATTTAAAAATAGTACGTTTATCATCTTTATCAGCCAGAACATCACTCTGAATCTTGACATTCTAGAGGTGGCAGTGCAGTCCTATGACCCAGCTGCTTTCAGGTTGGTGGCTGAGGTCAGGAAGATTTTCTTTTAAATTTGAAGTTCACAGTGGATGAGAAAAAAATATAATGTTACTCTATCCTACAGTAAACTAAGATTTATAGACTGTCACAATGAACTTCTAACTAAATTGTGCAAAAATTATAGATTTTATTTATATTTATGTATAAATATATACTATAGATATAAGGTGTTTTTAAACTATTTACATATATGCTAAGGTATTTTAAAGCTTATTTTGTGTTTTTTCTTTCTGTTCCATACTAATAAAATAATTTTTGTATTTATATTACATTTCATTTTTTCTTTTCTTCCAAACTAGCTTGCTTCCCATGTCTTAGTTTTCTCCTCTGTTATTTAAGGTGTGTTCATGTGAAGGTGTGTATGCTGATGTATAGACACTAGAAGTCAAGATTGCGAATGTTTCTTAATTGCTCTCCATCTTATTTTTAGGGTGGGTCTATGGATCATGAACTCATAGATTTGCCTAGACTAACTAAGCAAGTTACTAGAATCCTCTTGTCTTGGTCTCGTAAAAACTAGAGATACAGGAGTGCTCTTTGACCCTGATTCTTTACGTGGGCACGGGTGACGGAACACTGGTCATCATGGTTGCCCATCAAACATTTTTTTTGATGAGATATTTACCATCCATATATTTGTTCTTTACAATGATTCTATACTTTTTTCTTTTTTTTTAGATGAGGATTGTATAATTCATATTTGTTTGTTAGATGGGGATTGTATAATTCATGTTTATTAGATGGGGACTGAGTAATTAATGTTTTAAGAAACAGTTAAATTTGTGCATGTTTACTGAGTTATTATTTCATCTTCATTATCTCCAAATCTATTTTTTATTATTTATTTATTCAATGATTCTGAGAATGAAATGCAGAGACCTGTGCATACGAGGCAAGGACTCTATATCATTAATATATCCTTATTCATGTTCATATTAATCATTTAGATTAAATGGATTATATTCATAATTTTCAGAAAAGTATTCCTTCTCTGATTCCTCAAAACCAAATAATGCATTTTTTCTCCAAATAGTGGTTGGCTCAGTGGTCACCTTTAAGTTAACACATTTAATTTTACTGCTGCAAGGTCATGAACTATTTAGGACATACCACAGCATGTCCTAAATGCATAAATATCATAGAATGTCCTAAAGAGTTCATCACATTATTAATTATAATTGGTATGTTTTAGTGATCATTTAAACATGGCAAAAATAGTCAGCTAAAATTGAGTCCACTCCTTTAAATAAGGTGATATAATTAACAATTATTGTTTTATTAATGAGATGTCTTAATCTTTGAAGAAGATATTCCATTTTATAATATGAATTTGAAATTCAAGGGCAAAATCTGTAACAATAATAATATGACAATATTCAGGATCTTTAATTTTTTATTTATTCATTGAATCAATTATTGTTAGTAACAGTCTAACCAATAGAAGATACTGTTATGTGTGTGCTGAAAAGTTTAGGGCCTGTGATAACTTGGACCCATGCTATATGAATATATGTCTCTTGGATTTGTCTCACTTATAAAATTGTAGGGATTTGATTTGATGAATTGGTTCTTTTAAATTTTAGACAATTTATTTCATTAGTAAAATTTATGACATATATCTAAAGAAAAATGTTATACACATAATTTACATAATCAGAAAAATCACATATTTTCTATCTATCATTTATCATCAGTCTGTCTTTATCTATCTACCTATCTAATCTATCATCTATCTAGCTAATCTAATATTTATCATCTAATACCTATCTGTTTCAATATCTGAAAATGAAGTTTACAAAATGACAAAAGCTATCCTGATAATTTAAAAAGCTGAAATTCCAGATGTTCTAGGCCTATAATTCTCTCATTAAGAATGATGCCTTTGGATAGAATATCTGCACCAAAATTCTCCTCATTTTGTGACCATTTTAGAAATCTTTGAAAAAACATTTCATCATTTCATTGCTATTACCTGAGGATGTTTAAAAGACACTCTGTTTCAAAAATCAGAAATAGAAGTACTCTGGTTATGTTTTAGCATCACAGTTTTACTGTAAATTATATTATATTTGAACTGTAATTTTGTATGAATATACAACATTTATAAAATAAATTTATGCTTAATATGTATATATTTGTCTATAAACTTTTGTGATTAGGTAATAAAAACATGAAAATGACAGATTTAAAGTCATATTAAGGCCAGGCAGTGGTGGCACACGCCTTTAATTCCAGCACTTTGGAGGCAGAAAAGGTGGATCTCTGTGAATTCAAGAAGTTGCAATAGAAAGGCTTTGTATCTCACGGGATTAAGGCTGGAAAGCTAAGGAAATTTGGTTGACTATGGCATAGCATGCAAACACAGCAGAACAATTCTGTTTACTTCGTCAATCTGTGTTTGTTCTAAAATCGATATAGGTTATTATTGAAATGAGCCAGAAATTTAAAAAGAATATAGCTAAAAATAGCATCCTCCTTATGTCTAAATAACCAAGCTTGCAGAAATCTGATGCCAATGCCTTGAAATATGATTTTTAGATGAGGGGTTGCAAATCTCATTTTAGAAGAACAATTGTCCATATTGAGGCATTAAGAGCCATGCAATTAGTCATGACTCCTCCTCCCCTTAACATACGGATACATGTTACATGATGCAACAAAGATGATGGTACTTTTTTTGGCTGGAGAAATAAACAATGATGGAAGAATAAACTAAAGTTTGTTTTTAATAGTGGCCATTCAAAGTACTATGATTTCTTTCTTGTTGATATTATGGCTTACTACACCTATTTGCATGTTGTTATCATTCATTTCATATATGTCTGGGAAAAAATCCTTTTAAAATTTAGTTCTGTAAGTTGTCCTGATGCTACTGGAGAATGTCATAAAAATTTCAGTGCTCAAAAATAATTGGAATATATATATATATATATATATATATATATATATATATATATATTAGAATAAAATACCTTTTGAAAATCTTTAATATTCACCAAGTTGAATGAAAATATATGATCCTTCGCTCCAACATACAGCCTACTCCGCTCCTCGTCCAAAAGAAAAGTGTGATAACTGGAGCTGTTGGCCAAGCCATTGAAAGTGATCACATTGTTGGAGTCCATCATTTCTGAAAGGAAACAAAGCAAGACAATGGGTATTAATGTGAGTCCTTCGAAGCGGACACTATTGGTGCATGGTAATCTGATGTTCTACTTCAATGGCAGTCAGTCCTTACTAATCATGGTATTAAGAAATACAAAGGAGCCAATACACACACACACACACACACACACACACACACCCTCACATTAGTGTAATAGTAATCAGTACATTGATTTTATTCCAAGATGGCACATGCCTAAACAAAAACAATAAAAGAATGAAATTACTTGTGATAGAAAACGGTCTAGTGAGATATATTCATATGTTGTCACGGCCTAGTAACAGAACCTGGAGGTCCTTCTTCGGCCATATATTCCTGAGAGGAAGAACCAGGAGACAAAGAAGAAGAAGAAGAAGAAAAAGAAGAAGAAGAAGAAGAAGAAGAAGAAGAAGAAGAAGAAGAGCAGGAGGAGGAGGAGGAGGAGGGGAGAAGGAGAAGGAGAAGAAGAGGAGGAGAAGGAGGAGGAGGAGGAGGAGGAGGAGGAGGAGGAGGAGGAGGAGGAGAGGAAGAAAGAAAAAGAGGAAAGTTTAAGGCCAGGGGATCATGAACAAGCTATGTCTTATTTCTGTCAACTTTATTAAGGAGTACAAGCATTGCATAGACACTTTCTAGGAAAAGCATACATAATAAGCATAAGTTATCATGTAGTGCTATTCAGTCATCAGAAAGCTAATCAAGAAATGGTACACAAAGGCAGCACAGTATGTCTTAAGTGAGTCACAAATTGAGTGTTGAAGGATTTGTGACTGACACCAAAGCCCTTCAAGGAAGGAGCGGTTGAGTTCTCAGGATCTAGGAAACCATACCTTCTGTGAGGTCTTGCTCACAGATCATTACTCCCCTTGATAAACATGTTTCTGGTTTTAGGCAAGGAACTAAATTTTTTCTCCTTGTCTCAGGGTCTCAGGGACAGTCCTGGCTCAGCCTGGCCATCTACACAGTAGCATGATCAACATTGTATTTATGCCTTTTGAATGGAATGATGGTTCAAGTGGTTTTATTGGTTCTAAGCCATTAGTGAAAAGAATACTACAAGGTCAACAAGATAGAGGGACTGTAGGGCAAGTATCATTTAACCTCCTAGATGGTTTAGATTGTTTTACTGGGGCATTTTAATTTCTTTTGAGCATTTATTTTTCTATACTATATAAAAACTTTGTAATATTTAGTGGCTAAAGCATAGAGATATTAAATCATTTATTATAAGCATTTATTTTTATACAATCTCTTATTGCATTTTCTCTCTTTTACAGCATCTCTATGGGATAAAAACACTGCAGTAGTCCAAATTCTGCCCCGAATTAGTTTTCCATGTTCTTCCAGTACATATTTAACACAAGTTATAAAAAGTTTCTATGTGAATCCACTAAACATTGTCTCTTCCTATGAGAGAATCTTGCCTCTTCCTTAACTCCCAACTCACAGGGGAAAAAAAGCTTGTTAGAAATTTTCATGCTTTATCTATGTCTATACATTCTAATAACAAATATGAGTTCATCAGAGGAATATAGGTCAGTATTTATGTATTACATATGTAGTATATAAACTTATACTGAACATAACTGTTTATAAATATATAAACATAACCATTTCCACTTATGGGACCCTATTACACCTTTCTTTGTCTTCTGGATTATGTGATCACATGATCTACCATCATGCATTCTTTGGCCATTTGATGCCATTGTCTGTGACTACTACAACTACTTGATACCTTTAAAAAAACATCTATTTTTACAATCTACCTCACTGTTCTTTCTAATTTTAAAACCTAAAACAAATCCTATTGCCAGGGAGTCCAAATTATAGGCATCCAAGCAAATTTAAAACATTGGCTTGTATTAAATCCATTTAAGAAACTTTAAGGGAAGGAAAGGTCAACTAAGAAATGGAACTTAATTACAAACATAATGGAAATATATAGGAGAACTGTAAGTATCAAGTATAAGAAGCTGAGGAAAAATCATTGCTATGTTTTTTGGAGTTGCCCGTTTATAAGAGAAGGACCATCAATATAGTACCTTTGAATTAAAAGGGTCAAGGTCCCTTACACCTTGGGCCTCAGTATTGTGTAAGATGGGATGAACAATGTCTCTCAAGAGTTATTATGAAGATGTGGATCAAACAGAAGTTTACATAGTAAGCACTCAATGAAGGATTTTCTATATGTACAAGTAAAAATTAAATAAAAGTATGGCTGCTCTTGGAGACATAAGGAATTAGAGTTCATATGGGATATACTGAAAATTCCACATTTTCATCTGTCTCACTAATTCTGTATTAGATACTTCGTCACTGCAACAGAGGCCCAATCAAAACACGATAAAGAAGAGTATATTTGGACCAACAATTTTGCAGGTTGCATGCAATTCATGCTGTATTTGTTTCATTGCTTTCAGGACTGTGGCAAGAAGGAGACATTATGGATGAAGAGCACAGCAGTGGAAAACTATCACTTCATGGCAGCCCAGAAGCCAGGAGCATTAGAAACGGGGAGTGACCAGACATGTCCTTCAAAGGCATTCCCTTAGTGATAGATCTCCTACAGCCAGGCCCTGACCCTTATTTTCCATGTAATATATAATGCTATCATATTATGAATCCATCAATAAATCACAGCACTGGTTAGTTCCAAGCCCCCATAATCTAATCACTTCTCAATGTGTGGCTTCATCTCTTCTTGGACTAAGTCTTGAACACAAAAGATTTTGGGGATACAACATTCATCAAATTATGTCAGGTGCTAACATCAAAAACTGTTGTTTTATATAGGGAAGGAATAATTAATAAAGGCATGTCATGTTGTATACTAATCCTTAACATATATGTCTATATACTATTAAATATGTGGCCTTGGTATATTCTTAATTTTAAGAACAATGAAATATTTTTGTGATCATCTATATCATCAATTCTAAATAATAAGAATGATTTTTACACATAATTTAAAACTTTTTATATGTATTTTTAAACAATTGAAGGATGATTCCAACAGAACTATGCTACTGACTGAATATAAGCTTGGCAATAACTGTGCATTTCTACATATAGACAGTTAAATGTTCTGGTAGCGTATATGTGAAATCACCCTGGAAACAAACTACACATTTAAAAATGTGCTTGTGAGTACAGTTAATTATAAAAGTATATTCCTGGGTAGAAGTTCTTTTCCATTGTTCTCGAATGTACTTACTTTGTCTTTAGTGCATCACCCGAACGTTGCTCTACTAAAGGTCTTTGGCAAGGGTGTGCAAACAAGGAGACAGTCTTTTCATGGCCCTAAGGCAGCCATCAACATGAGCTTTCTCTACCACATCCTGAATTCAAATCAAATACCTTCCTCCCACCCAAATCTACTACTCAAGATTCTATTTTCTTTGTTTACATTTATGATTTTGATTCTCTTAGCTGCCAACAAATCTCAAGTGCAATTGATGGCAAATGTTTTCAACTCTGAATTTTCCCCTGCAATATCCAGGCTGTTCCTTCTTCATTTCTGTTATGCAAATCAGTGACATAAACTGGTGTTGGAGCTGAAATCAACCCCCAGTAATGGGAGATGCTTGTTAAATACCATAATGGAGAACATACTGAGCTTAAGTCCATGGAATCTACACCAAGTGTGTAGTGCAATCAACATTGTGACTCAGGACAATGCAGACGACAGGAATAAACTTGTAGATGGTTTGGCAGGGAAACAATTTATGTCATGTTAAGCAGCATGGATTAATCAGTTATGGACAAATTACATTTTCCTTTAAGTTTTTAAAAATAGCATTTTAAAATTTAAAACATGTAGATTCTACAGAGTTCTATTCAAACTTAAACAGAGCAAAGTAAGGGACTATACTTGATCTGTCATTGAAATACACATCAGATTCCCATTGCAGAAGGAGACCAGGCTGTTCACGCCACCTACTTTTCTGTTTATAAGCATCCCAAATTGCTTTCCTCTTCCCTATCTATCACAGATTGTCTTATAGATTCATTTGGAGAAGAGAAAAAAAAAGAGAGAAAAATCATAAAACATGATCACTGTCAGCTATTAGTTAAGATACTGAAAAATAACTTTATAAACCACCTTTCAAGTTTTTAACATGTGTCCTACAAGATGAGGAATTTATCTTAAACTTTGACAAGATGATTCACCTCTCTGTAATACAACTGTATAGCCTCCGCGAATTTCCGGTTATGTTTAGTATAAACACAGACTTACACACATGGTTACATTTCAATGACCAGGTCAAATTCTGAAAAAGGGGTGAACTTCATATTTGTCCAATATTCAAGACCAACCTGAACCCAGCCGCTTCTAGTCAGATTCAGAAGCTCTGTTTGCTGCCTGCTCTCATCTAAACAAGATTAGTTTTGCTTTTGTTCCTTTGCAGTTCTAACCCTCTCTCCCTCCCCGTCCTCTTCTTTCCCTTCATCCCTCCAATCTTTATAGCAGGAAGAGTACCAGGACCCCACAAGTTGCTGGACTCAAAATGAATTGCTTGCATTCATTGACGATTTTAGGCTCTCGGACTTTCCCATGACTTAAACCTTGTCCTTTTCTTACAACAAGCAAGCCTTTTACAAATCATCAAAAGCTGAGTCCATAAGATGCCAAAACATTCTGACCTAATGGTGACCACCTCTAGATATTTGTAAATATTGTAAAGTTCAGTCAGGTTAAATAAATTCACATCCAGCATTTTAGTGGTACATAGACATTTTCACTCACTCTTCTTTCTCTTTGAGCTTTGTCTTCAACTCTCTGCTATGCCACTAGCAAAAACAAAACGAAGTGCTAGTGTCTATTATTATCCACCCATTTTATTCTCATTTTAGATTTTTACATCACTAAGTACTGGGTTTTAAATCTTTCCAGCAGGCGGATCCTATCCACAGACTCTTGAAGGCAAACACTGTTGTTACTTGAACTTTGCCGAGAATAGTTTCCACTCATACCATTTTTGGCC